TACACATGCACCCATCCCACACCCCTGAAATACTCATCCCAGTACACACACCCCCCCGAAATATCCCCCCAGTACACATGCACCCCTCACATACACCACCCAAATATCTCTCCCAGTACACTCCCATCTCACCCCTCTGAGATCCCTCTCCAGTACACATGCACACTTCCTCCACCCTCCCAAATATTCCTCAGCACACACTCAACCACCAGCACCCTGCAAATATCCCTCCCAATACACATGCACCCCCTCCTGTATCCGCCTTCCAGTACACATGCACCCTTGCTGCACCACCCAAATACTCCCCCGTACCCATCCCGCACCCTGAAATTGCCCTCTCAGTACATGCACAGTCTTGCTGCACCCCACAAATAGCCCCCAGTACACCCCACCCCCCAGAATCAACCAAATTCCTCACGCACAGTTTCTGCATCCTCCCAAATACCCTCCAATACACATGCACCCCCAGAACTCCCCAAATACACTTTTGAGCACATACACCCCTCTGATCCCCCCAAATAGTCTCATTCCCCTAACACTCCCCAAACACCCCTCCCAGCACACTCTCACCCTTCCTGCACACCCCAACAATGCCCCCCCAGCATGTCATCTTTTGGGGAACCTGCAATATGGTAAGACTAACTGTGTCCATACTCAGGGTTTTGCTGGTGTAACTGCTGTGGTAACCTCCCCACCCACACTGATATAGTTTCACTCATGCAAAATCTGTGTGTGGAGCAGGCTGAATCCTTCTGGCCCTTTGTTGCTAGGGTTACCAACCCTCCTGGATTGGACGGGAGTCTCCCGGAATCAGGCTCAATCTCCCAGAGGCTACTGAAGCCAGTCTGGGAGATTTTAGGCCACTAAAAGTCCAGTGGCACAGCGGGGCTAAGGCAGGCTCCCTACCTACCCTGGCTCCGCGTGGCTCCCGGAAGCGGCCAGCACATGCTGCTCCTAGGCACGGGGCATCCAGGGGGGTCTCTGCTCACTGCCCCTACCCTGAGCGCCCACTCTACAGCACTCATTGACTGGGAACCCAGGCAAGGGCAGCACATGGAGCCACCTGGCCCCTCCACCTAGGAGCCAGACATGCTGGCTGTTTCCTGGGAGCCGCCTGAGATAAGCACCACCCAGCTGGAGCCCACACTATGCATTCCCATTTGCACCCCTACCCCAGCCCTGAGCCCCCTCCCACACCCAAACTCCCTCCCAGAGTCCACATCATGCACTCTCTCCCGCACCCCTACCCCCTGTCCCAGGCTCAGCCCGGAGCCCCCTCCCACACTCTGAACCCCTCGGTCCCACCCCCAGCCCAGAGTTAGCATCCCCTCCCTCACTCCAACCCCTGCCCCAGCCCAGTGAAAGTGAGTGAGGGTGGGGGAGAGTGAGTGATGGAGGGAGGGGGTTGGAATGAGTGGGGCCCTTGGGGAAGGGACAGGACAGGGGGTGGGGCAAGGGTGTTTGGGCTTGTGTGATTAGACAGTTGGCAACCCTATTTGTTGCTGGTTTCCAACTGGAAAAGTTGGAGGCTTTTTGGCAGCAGGCTTTCCTCACACCTTCTCATTTTTAAAATTTTTCTCCTAGGAAAACTGTTTGTATGTAAGGGGGAGTCTATTTTGAATGGGGATTTTTCCCATGAAAATTCCCATTTTCCGTCCAGCTGTACTCAGCCCCTTACAGATAGTGTTTAGCAATCTGCAAGATCAATCCATGTTTTGATATTCCTCTACCCTCCCCCCCACACATACGGCTCCTCCACACCCGAACTTTCCTCAGTGCCTTCCACTTTCTCTCGCCCCTCACTAGGCTTCTTTGGTCCTCTCAAACACCATCCTGTCCAACCCTCACTCTCTCCCATCTCCCCCTAACTGCTTTCTCTCACCTGATCTCTACCCTGCTGATGATGCAGCATGTCCTAATTTCCAACCTATGGCATTTCACATTGCCTGCTTCAATGTTTTAATTAACGTTAATAACACTTATTCCAGTGAATTATCTAATTAAGGTTCCTAATAGGTGAGATGACAGAGCCAATGGAAGATAAGTAGATTTTTGACAGAGCAGCACTGAAGGAAAAGGCCTTATAGGGACAGGAAGCTAGTGCTTGTGCCACAGTCAAAATGAAAGCCCCATTGTGCCAGGTGTGGTACGCATATTCTGGAAGACATGGTTTGATCACTTGCATTTGAAATAGCAGTTGGGAATGGAAGGGTAGTAATGAGCAAGGCAAGGGTCTCCTTAGTCCACTAATTTGAGGCTGGCATTAGACAAGGTTTGCAGGAGGGACTCCTATGTTCTTTCGATCTGTCCGTCCTCCCATTGAGCAAGTTCTAAATTTGTCTCACCACCAGGTGGCAGAAATGGCAAACTGTGCATGACAACCAGAAACATGTTTTTTTCCAACCTAACACTTGCATTAGCTAAAGCCACTCTAAGTAGATTCAGGGAGAGGGAATGTGGAGGCAAACATACTGCCTTTTAGATAAACGAGCAGACAGTCACGTGAATGTCTTTGGTTCTCTGTGGTAGAAAAACAACTCATTCATGCTAAATACTCCCCTTAAAGGAGCACAAGCAAATGAGTCTGTGAATTCCAGTAGAGGGTCCTGTAGGCCAGGATATCCAGTGTAAAGTGGCACCCTAAATCCAATTTGGAGTCTGCCTCTGACTTTGCCAGCTGGCAAATTCCAACTGCCAAAGCCTGTGTGAGTGGGTGAGAGATTCTCTCGGTATTTTAAATCTATTAGAATAAGAAGGGGGAAATAAAAGCTGGCTTCTGTTCCCAACTGGAATGGCTCCTGAGTAGTAATACCTTGTTAGAACTCATCACCATGCATTTTTTGACAGGTTTCCATGCCCCGTTTGGGGCTTTTGTCCTGCCTTCCCACCCTGTTTCTGTTGGCGCCGAAGTTTAGCGCCGACGGCCATTTTGAAAAAAAATTTTGTGTGCGTTTGAATGGGGAAAGTGTTGTGCTTGGATACATGGAGAGCAGTTTAAAGTTTGGGTAAGGTTTATTGAAAAAAGGGGATTGTGTAAGGAGAGCTGTTGTTAAAGGGCAGGTTATTAAAGAAAAGAGATGATGGGGTGCTATAAAAGAATAGAATACACTGTGATACCCAGTGATACACTGAGAGACGAGAGCGAGAGAAGTTTAGGGTTGATGAAAAGGAAAGTCTGTGAGAGTGATGGGTCGTCCTTCAGGATAGCTTGTAGACCCATCACTCTCACAGATCTTGGGAGACAGGTCAGTCCTTGCTTACAGCCAGCACCCCAACCTGAAGCAAATACTCACCAGCAACCATACACCACACAACAGAACCACTAACCCAGGAACCTATCCTTGCAACAAAGCCCATTGCCAACTCTGTCCACATATCTATTCAGGGGACACCATCATAGGGCCTAATCACATCAGCCACACTATCAGAGGGTCTTTCACCTGCACATCTACCAGTGTGATATATGCCATCATGTGCCCCTCTGCCATGTACATGTGCCCCTCAGCAATGCCCCTCTGCCATGTACATTGGTCAAACTGGACAGTCTCTATGTAAAAGAATAAATGGACACAAATCAGACATCAAGAATTATAACATTAAAAAACCAGTTGGAGAACACTTCAATCTCTTTGGTCACTCGATTACAGACCTAAAGTTGCAATTCTTCAACAAAAAAACTTCAAAAACAGACTCCAACGAGAGACTGCTGAATTGGAATTAATTTGCAAACTGGATACAATTAACTTAGGCTTGAAGAGAGACTGGGAGTGGATGGGTCATTACACAAAGTAAAACTATTTCCCCGTGTTTATTCCCCCCCCCCATTGTTCCGCAGACGTTCTTGTCAACTGCTGGAAATGGCCCACCTTGATTATCACTACAAAAGGTTTTTTCTCCCCCGCTCTCCTGCTGGTAATAGCTCACCTTAAGTGATCACTCTCTTTACAGTGTGTATGGTAACACCCACTGTTTCATGTTCTCTATGTATATAAATCTCCCCACTGTATTTTCCACTGAATGCATCCGATGAAGTGAGCTGTAGCTCACGAAAGCTTATGCTCAAATAAATTGGTTAGTCTCTAAGGTACCACAAGTACTCCTTTTCTTTTTGCGAATACAGATTAACACGGCTGCTACTCTGAAACCTATTCTTTTATAGCATCCCATCATCTCTCTTTTCTTTAATAACCTGCCCTTTAACAACAGCTCTCCTTACGCAATCCCCTTTTTTCGATAAACCTTAACCAAACTTTAAACTGCTCTCCATGTATCCAAGCACAACACCTCCCCCATTCAAACGCACACAAAATTTTTTTTCAAAATGGCCAACAGCACCAAACTTCGGCGCCAACGGAAAGGGGGTGGGAAGGACAACAAAAATGATTAGGGGACTGGAACAGATGACTTATGAGGAGAGGCTGAGGGAACTGGAATTGTTTAGTCTGCAGAAGAGAAGAATGAGAGGGGATTTGATAGCTGCTTTCAACTACCTGAAAGGGGGTTCCAAAGAGGATGGATCTAGATCTCAGTGGTAGCAGATGACAGGACAAGGAGTAACGGTCTCAAGTTGTAGTGGGGGGCGATTTAGGTTGGATATTAGGAAAAACTTTTTCACTAGGAGGGTGGTGAAACACTGGAATGCGTTACCTAGGGAGGTGGTGGAATCTCCTTCCTTAGAAGTTTTTAAGGTCAGGCTTGACAAAGCCCTGGCTGGGATGATTTAATTGGGGATCGGTCCTGCTTTGAGCAGGGGGTTGGACTAGATGACCTCCTGAGGTCCCTTCCAACCCTGATATTCTATGATTCTATGATTCTAAGGTGGGACAAAAGCCCCAAACGGGGCATGGAAACCTGTCAAAAATGCATGGTGATGAGTGCTATCGAGCTATTACTACTCTCCTGAATGAGTCTGTTGGTAGTGGGAGTTCTGTCCTTATTCAACAAGCCCATTCCCTCAGTCCCACACATCCCCTAAACCATCTCCTCTTGTTCTATATCAGGGGATGTTATTCCACCCAGTGAAGAAGATCGCAAGAAGATCATCAGGCAGATGAAGGTACGCACCACACTAAAAGGGGATAAGAGCTGGATCTACCCACAAAACTCAGACAATGAGGAGGAGATGAAGAGAAGCTCATTGTAAGTAGGATACCAGTCTCACCCACCCCCAGCTTGTTGCCCCTTCCTCCCAGAATTCTGTGGTATTTTGGTAGAGTTCCTTCCCCAAACTCAGTGGAGTCATGGGACAACTCCATCACCGTCAGGCATTCCCTAAGGGTGACACAAGGCCATGCGGCTGGCAATGAAGTCACAATCAAATGGATGCATCGCTTGTATTTACTTTTGATAGTTAAATGGAAATGACCTATCCAGAGAACCATGAACCCAGGAGCTTGGAGGAGTTTTTAATCCCCAGGAGGAGATGTCCACCTGCAAATGGGAAAGGATCAGCTGAACTCATGGAGCCAGTCCTGCGCAATGCTCTGGCCCTGTGATTGCTGACCTGGTAAAAAGGGGCTGCAAAGCTGCCTGAAGTGGGCAGATGGAGGTTGCCCCACGTTGGGGAATCCTGGACCCTAAGAGTTGTAAAGCCAACACAACTAGCTCTCCACCACCCCCTGCTGGTCCCAGGGGCATGGCATTACCCTTGCAAGGTGCATTGGGTGGAGCTTGGGACTACAGATACTTAAAGAGCCAGAGTTTTATTAAACTGCTTAATGAAAAACAAAACAAAAAATCTCCCTCCTCTCTAAACAAGCCTCCCCAGTGCTGATGAAACCTGAGTGTGTCAGCAAACTGGCAGCTGACCACAGGATGCTCCATCCCCATGCCAGTTTGGATGCTGTAGATTATCTGGCAGGGACTTTGCTCCCTACTAGTTTATAAAGCACCATCTGCAGCATGAGCGCTCTCTAAATAACAGCAGCAAAATAGGGAGGCAGACAGTGCAATCCCAGTGGGTGGGGCACCAGAGTAATTCAGGAGACCTGGGTTCTGGGTCTGCCACAGACTCGCTGTGTGACTTTGAGCAAGTCACTTTCCACTCTTTGTGCTTCACTTTCCCCATCTGTGCAATGGGGCTAATGCTCCTTGCCTCATGGTGAGGTGCTTTGAGATCTGTGGATGAAAGAGCTGGGTGAGTATGATGACAGCAATGTGGTTCTTCAGGGAGCATTGCCTGCATGGGATTTCCTTCATGGGTGAAGTCCTCTCTGACTGCAGCACGACATTGCCACGCTGGCACCACGATGTGCCATGCACATGGGCTGGCACTGGAGGTGTGTTTTACTCACATAACTGTCACATTTGGCATGTCTAAAGAAGTTGAGAATTGTGTGAATGGGACTGTTGCCATTGTGATTCTATTCCTTCCCCCCACCAGGCACTTACCATGTAGGTCTGGAAAGATTGATGGGGGATCCCCAGCCTCAGCATCTGTTACACCCCACGGTAACAGGTAACTGAAGGCTTCTGGCTGGGATGGTATAAATATGCAGTGCCATTGCAGCTGCCTGGGCATGGGGTTCTTCGAGGTCTCCTCACACCCACTCCTGGTATTATTAGGTTATAAAACATAATACTGGAGGAGAGCTGCACCCATTGTGCTCAGCACAGCATTCTGCAAGCATTCATCTTGGACAGAGCATGGCCCCAATCCTGCAAGTTCATACATGCGGATGGATCCATGTGCCACCGTAGTGCCATGTATGGCCCCAATCAGTGGCAGATTATCCAATGGGCTGATGGGGCCTGTGCCCAGAGGCCCTGGCCAATTAGGGGGGCCCTGGAAAAAATGGGTGCCCCTGCCTCAGCAGAAATCTACCGCAGGGTGGCGGAAGCCCAGAGCCCTGACAGAAGCACCATGCAGGGGGCAGGTGGGGGAAGCCCCAGCGCCCAGACCCCCGCTGCAGCCCTGGGACTGGAGGAGCTCTCACTCCCTGCTGTGGCCTCAGGGCTGGGAGAGCTCTCATTCCCTGTTGCAGCCCCAGGGCTGTGGTCGGGAGACACAGCTTCTCTCATGTTAGGGCCATGGGGGACAGGGGAGGGAGGCAGAAAGGAGCAAATGGGTTGCGGGGCCACAGTGTGTGGGGGGGTGGAATTGTTCACTGCCGTGGGTGGAACAGGGTGGGGCTGTGGGGGAAAGGGGCAGAATGGGGTGTGGCCATGGGCAGGCAGAAGGGGCAGTAGGGATGGGACTGCAGGCAGAAGGGGCGGGGGAGCAGGGGCACTTGCTCTGGCCCAGGGCCCCAGGAAACCTTAATCCACCTCTGGCCCCAAGCCTGCAAGCTCACAGGTGCAGGTGGATTTGTGTGCTGGCACGCTGCTTTGGATGGCCCTGATTCTGCAAGCTTATGGATTCAGGGGGATCCCTGTGCCAGTGTGGTGCCTGGGCATAAGGGTCCAGCTGTTTGGATCCTAAGAAAATAAAAATATGGGGCACTGGTTAGCCGAATGTTTGAGCCCCCTGCTGGCTGCAGTCCCATTGCTGAAAAGTGACAGTCCTTGCCGATCTGAATTTTTCATTAATAACTCTCCTGTGAGTGGTTTGCTGCCACTTCCCCCTTCTCCTCCATGGCCTCTTGTCTGTTCTTGTTGCATTCCTCCTCTCATTAGCTGGCAGGATTCTCCATGGAGGGCCTTTGCTTGTGGCCTTCCTGTAAAGCAGCATGCACATTGAGGCACTATAGATAATAACAGCAACACTTGTGACATTGCAGGGGAGTGCACTGAAATAAAAATGTGGCCGCTTTTGGATAGGTATTTTCTGTGTCCCATCCCACCCCCACAGCCGGAGGAGCTGGTTCTCCCCACCAGGGCCGGTGGAGCTTGCTCTCCATGCCTGCCCCCCATGGCTGGTGGAGTTCACTCTCAACTGGCAGCTGTAGGATCTGGATCTCCCTCTGTGGACTCAGGGCCAGAGGAACTTGGTCTTCCCACCCTGGCCCCAGAGGAGTTCTTTGCCCTCATTGATTGGAGGGCCTGTGCCCCTGCTTCCCGCCCCCCCACGCACACCCCTGTGACATTGGCAATGTGATGCCTTTGGGGGCATGTTCACCTCTCAGTGAAAGGGGAGGAGTGGAGTCTGCTGTAGCGGAGGTAAGGGGGAGAGCAAGGTGCTCAGAAACCCAGTGGTAACAAGGACCACTGTCTTTTTGTTCTGTTTGTACAGCGCCCAGTATGGGCGTCCTGGTCAGTGACTGGGGTTCTGACATGTTTCTGCAATACAAATAATTAATAGGCCAAGATTTCCAAGAGCATCTAGTGATTCTGGGTGCCCAACTTGAGATATGTTAAAAGGGGCCAGACTTTCACCAAAGCCCAGATCCTCAAAGGTATTTAGGCTTCTAACTCACACTGAAAGAGCCTAAGCACCTTTGAGGACCGGGGCCCCAGCCACTACAAATCAGAACCTTTAAGGTATCTCAGGTTGAGCACCCAAACATTGAAACATCTCAAATGACTAGTCACTTTTGAAAATCCAGTGTGGCCATTCTTATGCTGCTTCTCCTGCAGTCCCTGTCCTACTTTCACTGTCAAAAAGACATTTCTGATTCAATATTTCACAGGTTTTTATGTCAGTCCTTTTAGCATGTCACAATTTGCAGGTTCTAACCCTATCTGACAATGTTTCCTTCCTATTCCCCTAAGGGAGTGTTTCCCCAAACGCCTTCGCTGGCTGAACAGCAGGCCCCTTCTGCAGATGGACATTTGAATAAGTTAATGTAATAATGTATGTTGTTCTATAAGAGAGACAATGTTTGTTTGATCCATTATCCATCCACGTATATTCCATCTGTGGATTTATCTTTGTTTCATGAATTAAATAGACTGTCAGCATAATTTTTTAAAGAATTAGTCAGTTTCCTGATAGAGCCCCTTACAGCACATCCTGAAATAGCGTAAAAAAAATTCCTTTGGAGCTATTTGTAAACAATAGTGGCTACATAAACTTTGGATGGGGATGTGAAATAGCATCACGGGGCTCTGGATTTCCACTATTGTGGCTTTGAACAGCACCAGAAGCCCTGCTGCACTGACAGCCTTGTACCCTATGGATATTGCTGCTCCTGTTTCTTTCTTGTGAGTTTTTGATTTCTATTCACTGTGTAGGTTGCCAGGTTCCAAGCCCACCTCCGGTTACCTCATCAGGTTGGTATGAAGAGCCCCATCCCTGGAGTTAGAAACACTGGGGCTGCAGGTGACAGAGGCTAAGACAGTAGAGGATAAAATGGGTGAAATATCAATATCACCTGGGTTTCACTGTTATGGTGGTGTCTGACTGTGGAACCCCCTGTGGGTAGACATGTTTGGGTGCTTAACAAGCAGAGCACTGGCAGTGATGGGAAATCAGATCTCATAGCCTGAGGAGTAAGGTAGTCACTTGGTGGGGGTGTCAGAAAGTCTCTCCCCAGTCCCTTGTAAACAGGAGTGTACTAGAAACCCAGAGCACTGTGGGATTCACCATCCATTGCAGCACTAGATGTTGACCAGCAATGGACTTGGTCCTCTGTGGTCTGCCAGAGGATCATGTATCCTGTATTGCCACACTCCCGAGTCCATGTGGGAGCTGATTAAGTGTTGACTACAACCATGGAATGGTTGAATCTCTTTCTGACCCAACATCTTGCCCCCAACATGAGACATAGGCCCTTGCATTAGCCAAAACGCTAGGTGTATTCGCGTCCTCTCACAATTCCATTACCCTTTGGGTGCTGGATGGATCCTGGTACACACTCAAGGGTCACAAAGTCATCATGCTTCCATGGAATGTGAGGCTGGGCAGTGCGTCCCCATCAGGCTACACAGATGCCATTGTGATGGACAGAGATTATACAGTCATAATGTACTGGAGGTGATGAGAGCCCTGCAATCTATGAGGAAAATCTGCAGCTTAATAGATTTGATGGAAAGAGATTTGGTGCCCACTTTAGCATGGTTCTCTCCTCTAGGGCCTTTCTCGATGTCTCCCTCAGCCTTTCTGTAATCTTTGTTCTAAGATAGCCCTGAACCTAACTACAGTACTCCTCTTCCTATAGGGGTGTGTTCACCAGGACTATTGAAAAGACGTCGCCCGAGAGCACCTTCTATTCCAATGGCACGCAGAAAAGGTTTGTCTGATCCTATTCTTCATACAAGACCTACTTGGGGTTTTGGAATATTCTGCATACACTGGTGCCCAGTCTTTGATTTCATACAGTGCCTGTAGAGTCCCACAGATCTCCATTAAACTCTGGCAAAGCCACTCCAACCACAATCCAGAATCCAGAGATGATGAAGCTTCTAACAAACTAGAGAGAGACTTGGACCCAACCCGCTGCACTTGGAGCACATTCAAAACTCCAAACTCGGATTCCAATTCTGTGGCTTCATGCCATCTTTAAACTGAACCAGTTGTGGTGCATAGTGGAAAGGTTCAGCTTGGCCCCCCATTGACTTCTGAGAAGGCAGCCGGAAGTTGTCTGAGAAGGCAGCCGGAAGTGGGAGTGTTCTGGGTGTGCCCTCATTTTTTATCTTGGGATAGCTTGGCCCAGAAATCATGTGCTGATTAGAGCTTTTTGGAGTGGGTAGGAACCTTGAGAAAATGTCCATGCTGGTTTCATTCAATAATCATTGTAACAAACCTAATCACAAAAATAACAAAAACATTTTATAACAATGATGATGTTGTTGTTTATTTTTGAAACCTGGAGTGGTCACCCCCAGCTTGCCACTAGCATTACACGGCCCTGGCATCAGGAGTACTTGTGGGGTGGAGAGTTGCAAGCTAGCATAGCCAATCCTGAGTCTTCCCCGTGGCAGGATGATTTACGGCTTCTTTGCCACCTTGGCACACCCATGCATTTCCCCCTTTAAGGTCCAGTGGATGATGCTAGAGAGAGCAGTTTTACAAGATGTGTGTCTCTCTCTCCTTGTAACAAGATAGGGTTGTGTGATGGAGGGGGATTCCAAACCCAGTAATGACAGTTTTCAGGAGCCCTTGGGAAACTACTGGGCCCTCATATCTCAGCCCAGGACAGCTCACAAGGACAATGTGCTGGCCATACTTTGGCTAAAGTAATCAGCATGATCCATTAGGTCATCCTTTTTACCCTTCTCTTGTGAAACATTCTTGAATCTGCATGGGAGGGAGGCTGGCGTGAGGGCAAGAGGTCACAAGTGCCACATTAATGGAAGTGACTGTTTGTTATCTGCAGTGCTGCAGCTCAGGCTAAGAGTTCCAGCCTCCCCCGCTTCTCCTCCGGATACAAGATGACAACTGAGGATTATAAGAAACTGTGAGTGTACTGAGAGGAGCAGTGCACTGCTTATCGAACTGCAGGGCCTCGCCTGGTGCAATCGCCTGCGTGATGGAGCCACCTGCTCAGCCAGGCTGATCTCTCGGCTTGCTGAGCATTCCATTGCCCTTCATTTTAAAAGAAGTTACTGCGTGGAGCTTCCCTCTGCATGGGGTGAATTTTGTCCTTAGTAAATCCAGTTGGGACAGGAGCCAGAAGCCTCCAAACTACCACAAGGGGTGCTTGCTTTGCTGTATCTGTGGCCTGTCTGAAAGCAAGAAATACAGAAATCTCGTGTCTGGGCCTGCTGCCAGGCCACCTCCTGACTTTTCTGATCAAAGCAGGTTCTGGCTGAGCATTCAGCATTATCATCTGCTTAAGCCCTGTAAATCAGAAAACCTGGACAGGGATATGTTTTCACCATGGTGCATGGAAAATAAAAGTGCCTCTCCCATAAATGAGGGTGAGGATTCCAGTGCCCTCCTTTAGGTGCTGCACTGACGTCTACACCTAAGTCATCTCATCATCTGTGCTCACCTGGCTAAGGCTGCTCCAAAGTCTGTTATTCAGCGCCCATTGCTTTAAATGCTTTTATGACTAGGTACGAAAACAAAGCCATTAACATAGCTCTCCCCTTCTCTTGGATTCAGGGCTCCATTCAATGTCAGGCAAATATCAGTGGACTCAGATGAAGAGAAACCAGCTTTTTCCCCAGATGAACATAAGAAGAGGTACAAACTGCTGCAGTCAATATCTTTCCATGCAGGGGTTGTGGGGATTCAAAGGACACAACAGAAAGTATCTTTTCATCTTATCTACCAGCATCATGCGGGTCAGGTTTATGAAAACTTTAGCTGAGCCAGTCAGAATAATAATGCATTTCTATAGAGAGAGCATCAATGCCCCCAGGCCTCTGGGCTCCTAACAAAATATAATTAAAAGCCTGACGTGATTCAAAATGACAGCACGGCCCAATTAATTTCCTAGAGAGTGAGAGGTGGAGGGGAACCCATCAGCAACATACAGTTTATGTGACTGGATGGAAAAAATGGTGTAAAGACTTAGAAATATCCTGGGAGTAAAGTGAGCAAGCTGTTTTCTGTAGCCAGACCCGAGCTCCAGAATTCTAAGTCTGGACACTTTTGCATTTGGATCTAAATCCAGATCTGAACTTCCATAGCTCAGGCCCAGCTCTAGCTTTCACATCACTTCCTCTGTAAGGCAGGACTTCCTGGAACACTGCCTCAGAAGCAGCCAATCAGAGTTCCTGACACTTGAAATAATATTTTCAGAACTACCCTTTTCTGGCACGGGTCTTTTGGAATGGAAACATATATTTTGACAGACTTGTTGAAAATCTCTGTGTAAGGATAAAAGGGGTAAAAAACAATTGTGATGTCATGGTATGGGTCTACTACAGACCACCTAACCAAGAAGAGATGGATGAGGCTTTTTTTAAACAACTAACAAAATCTTCCAAAGCACAGGACTTGGTGGTAATGGGGGACTTCAACTATTCAGGCATCAACTAACACAGATTATCCAACAAGTTCTTGGAATGTATTGGAGACATTTTTTTATTTCAGAAGGTGGAGGAAGCTACTAGGGGAGAGGCTATTCTAAATCTGATTTTGACAAATAGGGAGAAACTGGTTGAGAATTTGAAAGTGGAAGGCAGCTTGGGTGAAAGGAACCATGAAATGGTAGAGTTCATGATTATAAGGAATGGTAGGAAGGAGAACAGCAAAATAAAGACAATGAATTTCAAGAAGGTGGACTTTAGCAAATTCAGGAGTTGGTAGGTAAGATCCCATAGGAAGCAAGTCTAAGGGGAAAACAATTGAAGACAGTTGGCAGTTTTTCAGAGACATTATTAAGGGCACAAAAGCAAACTGCATAGGAAAGATAGGAAGTATGGCAAGAGACCACCTGGTTTAACCAGAAGATCTTCAATGATCTTAAACTTAAAAAAGAGTCCTACAAAAAGTGGAAACTCGGTCAAATTTCACAGGATGAATATAAACAAATAACACAAGTAGGTAGGGACAAAATTAGAAAGGCCAAGGCATAAAACAAGATCAAACTAGCTAGAGACATATATGGTAACAAGAAACATTCTACATTAGAAGAAAGAAGAAGACCAAGGACAGGGTAGGCCTGTTACTCAATGAGGGGGACAAACAATAACAGAAAATGTGGATATGGCAGAGGTGCTTAATGATTTCTTTGTTTCGGTTTTCACCAAGAAGGTTGGTGGTGATTGGACATCTAACATAGTGAATGTCAGTGAAAATGAGGTAGGATCAGAGGCTAAAATAGGAAAGAACAAGTTAAAAATTACTTAGATGTCTTCAAATCACGAGGACCTGATGAAATGCATCCTAGACTACTCCAGGAGCTGACTGAGGAGATATCTGAGCCATTCGCGATTATCTTTGAAAAGTCATGGAAGATGGAAGACATTCCAGAAGACTGGAAAGGGGCAAATACAGTGCCCATCTATAAAAAGGGAAATAAAGACAAACCAAGGAATTACTGACCAGTCAGCTTAACTTCTGTGCCCAGAAAGTTAATAAAGCAAATAATTAAGCAATCAATTTGCAAACATCTAGAAAATAATAAGGTGGTAAGTAACAGCATGGATTAGTGAAGAACAAATTGTGTCATATCAACCTGATAGCTTTCTTTCAAAGGGTAACAAGCCTTGTGGATGGGGGGAAGCGGTAGACGTATCTTGACTTTAGTAAAGTTTTTGATACTATCTCACATGACTTTCTCATAAACAAATTATGGAAATGGAACCTAGATGGAGCTATTATAAGGTGGGTGCATAACTGGTTGGAAAACCATTCCCAGAGAGTAGTTATCAGTGGTTCACAGTCATGCTGGAAGGGCATAATGAGTGGGGTCCTGCAGGGATCAGTTCTCTGGCCAGTTCTGTTCAATATCTTCATCAATGATTTAAATAATGTCATAGAGAGTACACTTATAAAATGTTTGTGGATTATACCAGGATGGGAGAGATTGCAAGTGCTTTGGAGGACAGGACTATAATTCAAAATGATCTGGACAAACTGGAGAAATGGTCTGAAGTAAATAGGATGAAATTCAATAAGGACAAATGCAGAGTACTCCACTTAGGAAGGAACAATCAGTTGCACACATACAAAATGGGAAATTACTGGCTAGGAAGGAGTACTACGGAAAGGGATCTTGGGGTCATAGTTGACCACAAACTAAATATGAGTCAACAGTGTAACACTGCTGCAAAAAAAAAGCGAACATCATTCTGGGATGTATTAGCAGGAGTGTTGTAAGCAAGACACAAAAAAGTAATTCTTCTGCTCTACTCTGTGCTGATTAGTCCTCAACTGTAGTATTGTGTTTAGTTCTGGGTGCCACATTTCAGGAAAGATGTGGACAAATTGGAGAAAGTCCAGAGAAGAGTAACAAAACTGATTAAAGGTCTAGAAAACATGACCTCTGAGAGAAGATTGAAAAAATTGGGTTTGTTTAGTCTGGAAAAGAGAAGAGTGAGAGGGGACATGATAACAGTTTTCAAGTGCATAAAAGGTTGTTACAAGGAGGAGGGAGAAAATTTTTTCTTCCTAACCTTTGAGGATAGGATAAGAAGCAAAGGGATTCAATTGCAGCAATGGAAATTTAGGTTGGACATTAGGAAAAACTTCCTAACTGTCAGAGTGGTTAAGCACTGGAATAAATTGCCTAGGGAGGTTGTGGAATCTTCATCATTGAGGATTTTAAAGAGCAGGTTGGACAAACACCTTTCAGGGATGGTCTAGATAATACTTAGTCCTGCCATGAGTGCAGGGGACTGGACTAGATGACCTCTTGAGGTCCCTTCCAGCTCTATGATTCTTTGATTCCACTGTGGGCAAAAAACTGAGGTTGGCATCACCCTATCCACATTTAGTGGTACCAAAATCTTCAAATGAATCTGTATAGACACACCTGGTCCATTCAGCAATCCCAGGCCCCACACTCTGTATTTGCCCTATTTTATTATGTACCATATTGCAACCTTTCATTGCCTTTGGACAGTAATCTCCTTGAGCTAGGGACTCTATTGTTTGCTTGGCACATTTCACCCATTGCCCAGAGCTACGTACATGCCTGGTACAGTATAAATAGTATGAAGGCGGGAATTGATACCTGGCCACCACAGTGATGGGTACAGAATAAATGGACAGATAGGCCATTGTTACTACCCTTGGCTCTTGCTTGATTTATGCTCTTTCCAGTGGAGTCTGATAAAAGTCTTCAGTGACTCATTCACCTCTAGCCCCCTACTGTCTCAGTCTTCTGCCTCCCAGCTTCATCATTGGAACGTGCTTTCTTTACTCCTGGGGGCATTCTGTGCCAAAAAAAATAAAAATTCTGTGCCCAATATTTTAAAATTCTGCAAAATTTTGCAAATTTCATTTGTCAAATAAATGTGGAGGCTCCAGCACAGGGCACTGGCTGTACAGAGGTGGGAGATGACTGTACATCTCCCCCTCCCACTCCCAGGACATGGACTTAGCGATAAGGCTGCACCCAAACCTGACACAGTGCAAAGACTGGACCTGCCCCAGAAACACCACAGAGCCCTGCCCCTCCGTGCCAGGTGCATCAGGTATGGGCAGGCAGGATCCAAGTGTGGAGGAGCTTAGTGTGGGGGGAATTCAGGTGTGGGTTGAGAGGGTTCTGTGTGGGGCAATCTGGGTGCAAGCGGCTCAGTGGGGGATCTGAGTGCGGGCAGGGATCTGGATGCACAGGGGCTTGCTGGGGGGTTCTGGATGCAATGGTAATGGGACTCTGTGGGAGGATCCAGGTGAAGGTGGTTAGAGCTCAGCAGTGGGATCTGAGTGTGCAGGGGATAGAGCTCAGGAGGGGGGGTCTGGGTGTGGGAGGCTCAGTGCAGGGAGCCAGATGCTGGGGGAGTGGGGCTTTGTAGGGTTGGGATCCAGGTGCAGCCGGTTGGAGCTTGGTAGGTTGGGGATCTGGGTGTGGGTGGCTCATCAGCGTGGTCCAGGTACAGGGGGGGAGCGGGACTCTTTGGGGGGGTTCTGGGTGCAGCGTGGGTGAGGCTCAGTGGGAGGGTTTGGGTATGAGGGGGTCAGAATGCATGGGGGTTGGATGGATGGGGGATCAGCTCCCTGCACAGTGATCTCCACCCCTGCAACTGAGGAATGATGGGTGCAGGAACAGCTGAGAGTGGGGGTAGGGGGGAGTTTGCAGAGCTTCCTACAGCCGGGGTGAGAAATCTGGGGTACAGTCTGACATGGCCCTGGATGCCATGCAGGGCAGAGGAAGTTCTGTTCTCCCCAGCCCAGCCGAGACTAGCAGCTGAGCCTGGCACAGGGAAGGAGCCACCAGCCATATCTTACCCATTCCTGCCCATACCCCACAGTGATTTACCTCTCTGTTGGCTGCCCTGGGCACCCGAAACATACTGCTGGGGAGGGTCGCATGACTGCTTTTGTGGCTTCCCTTTGCTTCCCTATCAGACAGTCATTTTTCTGCGGGGAAACAAAGAAATCTGCAGGGGACATAAATTCTTTGTCTGTGCAGTGGCGTAGAATTCCCCCAGGAGTATCTCTTCCTTCTCTTCCAGGACAGAGGCAGCCAACAGTGTACTGAGGCGCACAGCCAGCAGGGAGCGCTCTTACGTCCTCTCTGCTGCCAAGAAAAGCAATGGGTGAGTCTCATGGGAGGGGTAAACAGAAATTGAAACTATTAGCAGATGTTTCACAGGGACTTATGAGCCTGATCCATTGAAGGCAATATGAGTCTTTCCATTGGCATCTATTGGCTTTGAATCAAGTCCTAACTGAGAAAAGTCCAAGGAACTGCAGAACTGGGCATATCCATTGAAGGACTTTTGAAGTGTTTCCCATCCGAGAGGGAAAGGAGCAGAAGGAAAGAAAAACAGCCTGAAATCTTTGAAAAAATGATTCCTAACTCTCTAGAACCCACAACTAAGATGCATATTTTCAGGCCTGGCTGCTCAGAACATCCCAAACACCTATTTTCTCCATCCCAGCTTTATTGCACCAAGGAGAGAGGGGACAGGGGCAGAAGGGGCTTGCAAACATTAGTATGGGCCAAAGAATCTTCCACAAAGAAATTGGATTCCAAGCAGGATTTGCATCCAGTTTAGATAAGCTCCTTGGGGCAGGGACTGTCTTTTACCATATGTTATGAGGCCCCCCACATCTCAGCTGCAGCTCCAGTAACAGGAGAAGTGTAAGTATGCAGAGATATTGCTGGTGTAAGAAGCTCCTCTATCCAACTCTTCACTGGGGGTTGTAAAGGTCAGTTCCACTGGTCAAAATAAGATTGATCTCCCAGGAGAAGTGACTGCAATTTTTGCAGCTTAAAGGGCATCTTTTCCCCTCTTGGTCTAACTTGGGGTGGCACAATGAGGCGGCAGAGAGGCTGGCAATGCCTGTGAGGGAATGGGAGAAGCAAGGAGGGAATGTGCCACAGCAGTGACATAAAGTGGTGTAATTTACACAAGGGTAATAAGATAGTGTACCTTGCACTGATTTGGAATTCAGCTGGTGTGCAAAAATAATGCCGTATATGTGGCAAGAAGGCAGAAGGATTTTGTGTGTAACAAGAAAAAAACTACTAAAAGGAAGGTGTAAAATATGAGGGGGTGACTTTATTTTACACCTTCTTATCAGATGCTTTTCCTGCTTTCGCCCCCTAGGTGTGTAAGTTACATTGGTTTTGTATACCCACTCACTGCTAGATCTGTGCAAACAGCATTACATGGCCCTATATGCAAAATAGCATCACCCTTCAGTTCTCTGTCGAATTTGTCTCAGCGCCTCCCATGAGAACTGCTCCTATGCCAGGTTTGCTCACTGGCTTCATGCAATCTTTGCCCTTGTATCTCCTTTACAGAAGCCCAACACAAGAAGTACCACCCTTCATTGCCAAGAGGTGAGTCATTGGCTCTGTGCCCCAAAATTACAGTAGAGCTCCCATTCTATGATACCATCTCAGTGTAGTGGATTCTATTAAGGGCTAGGGTTTGGAGTTTCCATCTGGTGTGAAATTGTAGGCTGGGAAAATGCCTAGATAGGCTGGACCCATCTGTTTGGGCTGACTTATACTGACACTGGAAAGCTCCTAGTGGGATGAACATGGCAACTTAGGCTATATCTACAATGGCCCTTTTGTCATAAAACTTTTTTCACTCAGGGGTGTGAAAAAACACCCCCCTGAACAACAAAAGTTTTAACGACGAAAAGCACAGGAGTGGACAGGACTTGGTTAGCAGAAGCTGCTCTCAGCGCTGAAGCTGCCACCCCTCATTGGAGATGGCTTTATTTTGTTGCCAGGAGACAAAGTGGCTGTACAGCACACCTCACAACGGTGCGGCTGCAGTGGCAGAGCCACGCCGTTGCAAGGTGTGCAGTGTAGACATAGCCCTAGACACTGAACTGGAAGATGACAACCGTGGATTGTCAGGAATCGTGGAATTGTGGTTGGGAGATCATGGGGATCCACTTCCCTTCCTCCTCCAGAAGAGATTGGCCCCTGCAATCAGGGCCACCACTGGGCTTTTAACTTCCTGAGCAGTCAGTCCCACACAGAGAAAGGCTATCGAGGTGAGGGTAAGGGCTTGCTTCACTCAGCCAGTTAACAACATATTCATTGTTAAGTCCAGCTGTGGACTCCAGGGACAGAAACAAAGTTTGACCCTAAGACGAACAGAGAAAAATTCTACAGCATGAGGGGAGATGAAATAAAATGTTTGAACAAGTGTGTGTGCACGTGTGTGTAATGATGTGATGTTTGTGTTTTTATTTTTCATCCTGAAAGCGTTGAGATTGAGGAGGAAGGAGGACTGCACATGAAGAATCAGACCCTTCCGGCTTCATCAAGGTTTGGTCTTGGTGGCAAAAGATAATGTCCCTGCCTCTGGATTGCTCTGTGTGTGTTTAGGATGAGGTCCATTTTCCAGCTTGTCTTCCTGCGTGACACTGAAGATAGTTGCTGGTGAAAGGTGACAGTCTTTCTGACCACAGTTGATGATGGAGGGTCCCCTCCCACAAGAAGCAGGGCAAGGATGGCTAGGGCTGGAGATGGGACACTAGGCAGGGTAGGCCAGAGTTCTGAGGTGGCCCTGAGCATTCTCTCTCTCAGGTGGTTGACTGGCTCACATGGTCAGGGTCTAACTGGCCACCATATGTGGAGTTGGGAAGGAATTCTCCCCCAGATCAGATCGGCAGTGACCTTGGGTGGGTTTTGCCTTCCTGTGCTCTGCAGGGGTGCAGGCCATTTGCCAGGATTATCTGGGTATCTCTCACTTCATCATTTCTCTGCCAATGCAGGGTTTTGGGCTCTGATGCACCTCAGTCCCTTCTATTCTCTGCCTGTGGCACATAATAGTCTAGTCTCCTGTGGTCTCCTGTACTTTGGTCTCATTTTGGGTTTAGTGTGTGGGTGCTGGGTGGTGCTGGTGGCCTGTGTTCTATGGGAGGTTAGACTAGATGATCTTGTGGGCCCTTCTGGCCTTAAATTCTGTTACATCCTTGGCCATCCCTGCTGAAGAGGGGAGGGGCCAAAAAAAACAGGTCAACTAATTCTAGGGGACAGAAGGGCAGGGGTGGGAATGGGGCCAAAGGGAGTGAAGGAGCCATGCTGATAGGCCTGGAGACTGATGGCCTGTGTGACCAACTATAGTGTGGGGGAGGAGCAATGCAAGCTTCCTCCAAAACACCACTGCTTCTCTCTTGCCTTAAAGGTGAGGGGAGTTCAACCTCTATTGCCCATTTAGTCTTGATGTCATTTCAATGAGGAGCTCATATGCCACAATGATAAGCATGGTGTAAATTCCTAGAGAGACAGAACAAGCTAAGAAGCCAGTGCTAGTTCTGACGGGCTCACCTATCCATTGAACAGCCATCAGATGGTAACGATTTTCCTAAATTAGGAGCCTTGGCTGGATGAACTGATTCAGCTACTTAGCTAATTATTTCCAGTCCACTAAGCCAACTGTCCCGTCTTGTTGGATTTTAAATTAAATTAATCTACCTTGACAATGGTAGCATAATTTCGGTCTGACCTCCAGGACTAGAGCCATGTATTAGTTTTCAATTGATTGTTACTGCAGTGGTAAATGTCACCCTACTTTCTGAAGAAGAGCACTGTGTAAGCTCAAAAGCTTGTCTATCTCACCAACAGAACTTGGTCCAGTAAAGATATTATTTCCCCCACTTTGTGTCTCTAGTATTCTTGGGCCAACACGGCTACAACAACACTGCATACTCTAACTTCAAGCATCCAGCAAACTGGACGTCCCACTGAAAGCCCACCATTGTATAGAAAGGATCATTATCATAGTAAATGGGCCACTGCACTCTTATCTTGGTACCTGAGGCCCATGACCAGCTCCATCCAATTTAAAGGAGGTGCAGTGACAGCCCCCTGCAATCTGTGTTGACTGGAAAAGTGTTGGCTGTGCTGCTGGGCTTCAGAGGAGGTGGGAAGAGTGAAAGAGTTGTGGAAGGGGAGACACACCTGTCCTCAGAGGGAAAAATCCTGGTGATTTCCCCATGGCTTCTTCCAGATTAGAATTCAGCTGTCACCTTCCACTTGAACAGCGGGGTTGGTGCCAGATAACAGTATTATTGGTATTTCTGCTGTTCTTAAGACTAGTGGCCACACACAGCAGAGAATCCAGTAGCCAGAGCCTCTTTGGCTAGAGGACTTTGTCTTCTGGGATGAAGTAGTTGCATCACAAAACTGTGATGTATTCTCATGACAATAAGATCCAGGACCATAGCTGGAGTTTCTTTGGGAAATGTTTCTCTCCCTCTTCTCCCCATCCCAATTTTTTTTCCCAAGGAAAATTATATTTTTTTATTTTAAATGTATTGGATTTTCAACTAAACATTTTTTGGTTTTCATTTTTCAGTGAAAACCCCAAACATTTCAGTGACATTTCACAGACATTTTTCATGAAAAAGACTGTTTAATGTAAAAAGCCATTTTCAATTAGTAAAACATTTAGGCAGAATTTTTTTTGACCATCCCTAGTCACAGCATCAAGACTCAGGTGTATTGATGCAACATCACAACATGGTGACAT